CTCCAGTTAGCACTGGATCATTATTTTTAATCAGTGTTATTAAATCTTAGTGTGTGCTTCCCATACAATTTCACGCTAAGGACAGTACCACAGAGGTGAGAAAAACAAAATGCCACTTCATTCACGTGACATGTAATTTTACAAAAGAAATAAGAACAACTCAAAATAAATGCAAGATAGCAAAGACATCTTCACAGACTCCATCCTGTCTTCAGAAATCCACTGCATGAAGGGAAAGCCAGTCTTTTTACAGCCACTGGCACCAAGAAGCCAAATAAGGAAGATTTAGCAATGGGTACCCCGCCTTTGTGTCTCTGTATAATGCAGAGGAAGGAAAGAATAAGAGGAAGGAAAGAATAAAATCCTGCATTCCTTTCCATTAGATAATCACATTTGTAGGTCAGGAAAATTTAGAAGTCCCTCCCTTCAAATGGTTAATCCAGCTGATTCTGTTTCAAGCCTGTTAAAATGTGTTTTTTGAGAAGTTGCAGTGTCTTCAGGAAGGCAGCAGAGGGCACTTCAAACACGTCACTACTAAGTGCACCTCAGCTCATTTTCAATCTGGGGCTTTGCTGTCCTGTCTGAAGTTCTCTCTGAACATGAATCCCTCAGCAAAAAAAATTCACCATCCTGCATACTCAAACCATTAACCAGATCTCACACAAAGTTTCCTTTTATATCCTACATGGGGCTTAAGTTTTATTTTGTTGAAAGATGAAGATAGATTATAAATCCATTCAGTTATTCGTGGGACATTCTGCTTAGTTTGTTTGAGTTGCCTTCTAGGAAAGGCCCGTATCTTTCTCCCCCTTGGCCTGTCATAGTTTCTGTGACAGCATCTATTTTTCTGGCATGTTTCTATGGGTCCCTCTCACCATAAAAGCTTGTTCTAGGACAAGTCACAGCAAAGCATTGACTTTTTTATTTTTGATTCTTATTTTTAAATTATCTTTATTCTTTTTAACTTAGACAAATCATTTCATGCTAATTTTACAACTTAATATTTCCTATTTCTTGTTTCCTTTTGTTTTTGGAAGCAGAGAGGGGATGAGTATTCCCTTCTCAAGAAAACCAAAGTCCTTAAGATATGTCTAGATTATTTAACACCATGCCATTTTCAGAAGCAATTTCCCCCATACCCTACAATGACTTTGTCTGCAAAGAACAGAAAGTAACCTTAATTCCTTTCCTCAAGCAGTAGTAAATGGACCAAATATAACAGTCATCTGTACTTTAAATTTTGTACAACACAACACCCAACTTTGCCAGTGGAAAATTATGTTCTGTCTGAATTTAATCCTCCCTTGAAGTAAGCTACTTGGAATTTCTTCAACATAGCTTTGCTATGTTGTTAACATTTCTTATATTTATGATTTTTGTATTTGTAAATGAATAAAAGAGGGTAATGAATAAAAGAGATTCTGCAAGACCAGCATCTGTACTCAGCTGCCCAGCATGAGACCTCCAGCTTCCAATACCATACCCCAAAGCTAAGACCTCAACCTCATCCTCACAATCAGTGACATCACCAGCTCTGTTCAGACTCAGCGTGAGCTCCTTCCTACCAAGAGTTAGTGCTGTAATATGGGTGGGGACCAGCATAAAGGTTTTTTTATGGCAATTTTTAAGTACACATCTCTTTTTTAAAGATTTATTCATCTATGCATATAAGAACTGGGGTACAGGCCAGATGTGTGGGGGGCGAGAGGATTCACCAGAGACAGAGCAGGTAACAGAACAGGCAGATTGAAATACACTGCTGAGGGGAGCAGCCAGCCAGCCAGGAGAGGTCTGCTGCACCATGTAGGCAGCTCCGCCGATGTGGGCAGCTCCCTGGTGGCCGCTGCCCGGCGGCCGGGGATTGAACCGGTGCTGCAGAGGCTGTGGACAGCCTCGTAGGCTGCATCTTAACCCCTTGCACCATCAGGGAGGCCCTTTAAGTAAACATCTTGATTTTCTTATATTTATGATTTTTGTATTTGTAAATTTTATTTGTATTACTCATGTCTTCTACATTCCTATGATGATTCAAAGGAGACCAGAACCTCTTCAGTGCTGATGTTCTCCTAGAGTGCATTAGATATTTTGACATATTTCAGCAAAAAAAAAGTCACAAAACAAAATCTACACTGGTCTATATATGTACAAAAAGATCTGCTATCCAGACTTTTCCAGTCTACAGTTACACATTAAAATATAAATATCAAATACATTTTTCTTCCTTCATGAAATAGCCAAAGGAAAAAATACTTCATGATTGTGGTTACTATTATTTAATATTCCCCATGTTTCATTTTTTCTCATTTATACAGTGACAGTGGGGTTATTAAGCTGGCAACATATTTGTAATGATTAGATGTAGAAAGGGATGAAAATTATTCAGTGTGTACAAATAGTAGGCCCTCAATCAAAAAAAAAAAGGATAGATGATTAATAGATAGATAATAGGTAGAGAGATGACTGATAGATGATAGAGAAATGATAGATGTCAGTGGGAGGTAGGGAAGGGGAGAGAGAGGGAGGGAGAGAGAGAGAGAGAGAGAGCCATTTCCTTATGTATGGATGTGGAGTTCTGGAGTTTCTGATCATTTTCTTTAGGTATAACCATTTAACTTTTTACTTTCATCATTTAAATGTATACCAGGTGCAAGTGTCCTACCATAAGAGTACTGATTTTTTAAACGTTTATAAAACGCTTCTCTTGAATCTGATTTGTTACAAAGGAAATGTCAGTTAGGGAAAATGTTAGGCTTCACGTTATTTACGATCAAATAACCTTGCTGAAGTTCTGGAGGAGGCGCGTCTCTAATGCACATGCCTGTCTGTACAAGACTCAGGCACCTGATCTTCCCAAAGCAGCCAATCAGCAGAGTTCATTGCCACCACACCCACCGGCCCACCGGCTGCTCCCAGGGATTGGAGCCAATTTGTCTGCTTTCCTACCAAGTTGAGTTGCTGTGAATTAATTCTTCCTGGAAATTTCTGCAAATCGAATGGACATGCAACATGTCCATTGTGCAGACCACTCCCAAACCAGTTTCATATTAAAAACATAAAATAATGACTCTAACTCTTGATTATTTTGAATTTGATGTCTGTTAACCTGGGAAATCATTTTTAAATGATTATAAGCAGCAGCCTTCTCTTTAGCAATTACATAATTCTTTTTTTTTTTTGGCAGTTCTCTAGAAGGCACGAAAGTGCAGGTTGGCTTAGTTGTCTCAGCAACTGTTACTTATCTGTGAAAATAAGATGCATGTATTATACATAAGAATATTCTATGTAAGATAGTAGGAATTTTTGTACTATCATTTGTTTATATGTCATTTACACCTTGGTCACATCCAATGCAACTGTACTTCTCGTGCTATTTTTTTAAATTTAGAATTTACTACATAATTTCTGAAGGACTGCCAAATCATAGTCATTCACCCCCTATATCGTCTGTTTGGTCACTTCTAAATTTCTGAGCCATTTAATTTTGGGCAGGTTTCAAGATTCCTCTACGTGCTTTCTAGGATAGAATTAAGGTGTATAATTGTTTGATAATTGCACTAAAGATGATATATTGTGGCTGTAGCCTTTAATGCATAAACTTAAAGATAGAATTCTATCTATAAAGCAACAAACTTTGAATTATTGGGGTTTTAATAGGTGTCTTTCATTTTTGAGAAAAACTTAAAATGTAAGCCTACTTAAAATTGTATAGTTTTTCATCCTTCAAGCTACAAATGTAGATTTTGTGTGTGTGTGTGTGAGAGAGAGAGAGAGAGAGAGAGAGAGAGAGAGAGAGAGAGAGAAAGAAAGAGAGAGAGGTGAATAGAAGAGGGCATTAATGAAAGTAAGAGAAAGAATTCAACATAGAAAATGAATTAGAGGTTTTGATATAACTGTTTCTCAGATGTAAAGTGGAGAGTGATATACTTAGTCCTTCCTGGCTAATGCAAATTTTTAATATTTAAAAAGATATTTGAAAATATTATGAGAATTTTGGCAAAAACCAAATAGCTAATGTAATTTCATTCTTATTATTTATTATACTTGAATTCCTCAACACATTTAAAAAATATTTCACATCCCATAAAGCCTACCCATTTAGGGTGTACAAGTAAATATTTTTTTGCAATTTACCCTGTTGTACAACCATCACAATAATGTAATTTCAGGACACTTTCATCACAAACCCCCAAACACTTGTCCATTCTCTCCCTTCGCTAATTCCCAGTTCCAGGCAACCATGAATCTATGTTCTGTCTCTACAGATTTGACCATTTGTGGATATTTTATATAAGCAGAATCACACAATGTGTTTTCTGTGACTGGCTTTTCTCACTTAGCATAATAATGCAGTTTTAGATTATGTGACTTCCATTTTCTGCCTCTGAGGATACAAAGATATCTTTGCACTCCTTGATGAGTTTGAGTGTTGGGTAGAATATACTTGAGGCAAAAATCAGAAATTAGAGCAAGAAGCTTTCTCAACCACATTTTGCCAGTGTTAAAATACCAAATTGTGCAAGTACAAACTCCAGAACAATGTGTGCCTGTGAGTGTTTAAATGTGCACTGTCCAGGAGAATTTTTCATGGGGGGGGGGGGAGGCAGGGGCAAAGAGACAGGGGGGTGGAGGAGGAAGGTGGTCACTGCAAACAAGATCCATCAAAGCAGGAGAGGGTTTAAGCACCTCCTAAATGTGGTTTAACAGCTTAACTTTCCCTCCTTGGAAAACTGGTGATTGCAAACTATTTAACAGAAATCCAGCTAGTCCGTACTCGGGCGTGCACAGGGGGCCCTGGAGAACCAGCCTCTTCTGCAAAGCAAATAGGAGCCTCACAGTGAAAGGAAAATTTCCCTTCTGCCCTTTCCCTCTCTTCTCTTTGGCAGGGATTCTCATTACAGTTTGCTAAACATTTGGAAGTGAATTTAGGGCCCTCCCCCCAACTTGTGATTTTATAGCCAATAGGTGATGAGGGTTATTTGCATATTTCCAGTCACAAATGCGGTGGTGGGGTGGACGCTATCAGACTCCATTCGATTCCTCCACCTCCTCCGAGGAAACTTGCCCCTTAGAGTCGCCCGCCCGCCTCTTTCCAGGGCCGCTTTGCCCCCTGCTCCCCAGTCCTTCAGCCTGCTCCCTCCGCAGGCTGGTGCAGCCCCGGTGCCGGCGACTCCTGCCGAGGGACGCGCCCGGGATGGAGCGCAAAGCGCTGCTCCTGGCACTTCTGTGCGTGTGGTTCCCGAGTCTGACCGCCGACAGTAAGTTGTGGGTGCAAAGCCCCCTCCACCTGCAGACCCGGCCCTGGGGCACGTGCCCGCGTTCGGAGAATGGGCAGGAGGAAGCGGCGAGGGGCTGCGGGTGCCCGGGGGACTCCCGGGCGCTGCCCGCGCGCTCGCAGGTCCCCGCGCCGTGGCCCGGGCGCGGCTCTCCGCGGGGCAGGGCAGGGCTGGGGGGCCGCGGGAGCGGCGGGGGCGGGAGAGAGAGGGGGGAAGGCAGGACTCGGCGGGAGTAACCTTCCCGCTTTAGGGGTTCTGGAATGAAAGGCACGCGGGCCATTGTGACCCTGCTCGGCCGCGGCCTGGGCTCGGGCGCGCCGGGGAGGCCGCGGGCAGACCGTGGCCCCTTCTGGAGAAGTGGACCCCGGGCCGGGGACGGCACCTGAAGAGCGTGGGCACTGCCTCCGCGTCCAGGGCGGGTAGCGCGCGGGGATGCGTGGCGCGGAGTCTCGCAGACTTGAGGGCGCCGGGGAAGCCCTCCTGCTTCACTCTGTCCCAGGGTCCCGAAAACCCTGCAAAAGGTTGATTCCCCGGGAAACGAGACTCAGAGATAAGCAGACTCGGGCGGGGTTGGGGGGGGGGGTGCTGATTGCTGATTTGGTGTTGCCGGGTTTGCTCTTCGCTCCCCTTCGGGTCCTCTGGCGAGCAGACTCCGCCAGCCCAGCCCCACTACGGAGCGGGGAGTCCCCGCGCCTGGGGCTGCAGAACTGGGGTGCAGAGGGCGTCGGCAGGGGCGTGGAGACTGGGGGTTGCACTCCGGGCGCAGGCGGCTCGCGGGGTTAGGGGTTAGGGCTTCCGGACTGGGAGAATTTCTTTATTGCAGGAAAGATGAGCGCCCGGCCGGAGACCTGCCTGCAAGAGAGGCAGCCTCCGCAACTTGAATCTTGGTTCCACTGATAGACTATAGCACTGAAAAAGCAATTAAAGCAAGTCAGAAATCGAAGCAGCATTTTCTCTGCCTTCTCTAGGTGGGGCTGCAAATAGGGCCTTGGCGCTTATGTGTGGCAGCAGGGGCCGCAGGGGCTGAGTTTCCCAAGGCTTTGCTGCCTGAAGTTGGGAGTGGCGGGCAGGAAGGCATATTTTGCCACTGAATTGTAGAAGATCATTTTTGTTAGGTTAAAAAAAAAAAAAAAAGCAGGTTCCGCCATAGCTGAATTAGATAAAAAGACAAGTTTCTTTTTTTGTCGTATCAGTTTGAGAATACCAGAGTTTCCATCCTAAACTTAAGGAGTGGCCCTCGATAGTGTTTTACACCGTCCAAAAAGATGGTTGGAACAAAATTGAAATTATGATTTCAAAACGTATGTCATAGAATAATGTCATTTTTTGGCATAAAACACGCAAATCTATGTTGTCCAGTTTAAATTTTTGCCTCCGTCCTGTAGAAGTTCCTGACCCCGAGTATCTTGGACCTCTCTGATTTAGATTCCTCGACTCCTAAAATCGAGAGTTTGGACCAAACCAAGTTCTGTTAGGCCCCTTGAATTCTTATTCTTTTATTATTTCATGGACACAAAAGTGAGGAATAAAGTAAATTGGACCAACACAAGTTTTTCTGGCTGTAAATGTATTAAGAGAGGAGTAATTTTTTTTTTTTTTTTTTTTTTTTTTTTTTTTAAAGATTTATTTTATTTATTTATACAAGCACTGGGTACAGTCAGAAGCGCGGGAGGGTGAGAGAATTCACCAGAGCCAGAGCGGGGAGCAGAGCAGGCAGAAGGACCAAAGTACACTGCTGAGGGGAGCAGCGGGCGGCAGGAGAGGTCTGCGCGCCATGTGGGACCCTCCTCCGGTGGCCGGGGAGCAGCCGGGGATCGAACCGGCGCTGCAGAGGCAGCGGGCAGCTTCGCAACCCAGCGCTCAACCGCTGCGCCACCGGGGAGGCCCTAGAGAGAGGAGTAATTTTTAAGTAGACTTGAAATTAATCCCTCTCATCCTTCACCCTTATTGTACCACCCTCCTTCATATTATACCTCCGCCAACACAGCAACTTTTCACCTTGTTTTTATTCCTAATTGAGTTCATCTAGGCAGAATTTCCAAGCAGAAAAGTACAGGTGTGAGGGAACTATAAGCAGCACCTACTCTGAGCTCTGACAATTCTTATTCATTCTCAATTTCTTTCCAGGAAGAGTGTGAGGTTAGGAGGCAGTGCCCTCAGGCACTTTGTTCTTGGAGCTGCCACAATCTTGATGTGGCTCCACTATGATACCTGACCTAGGAGACAAGCGTGTGGTCAGGTCTATTTGACTGGTTTTAGGGATTTTCCAGTCTTACATTTGAGTTCCACATGATGGGTGATGACAGAAAACAGCAGATGCCCTTTGGAATGGAGCAGAGCTCAGCAAGGGAGTGATTGGTTAACAGCTGTATTGAAAGATGGCGTCACACACTAGGGAAGAGTTAGAATGGAAAATTTTCATTTTCTTTCAGTCATGTATTTTTGGCTCAGCCGCCAATTATTGCTTCATTTGAGGCAGAGAAAATTGGACTATACAATTTATTGCTCTATTTTTATTTATTTTTTGCTATTAAAATGGAAACTAAATCTGTTTGTCACATAAATTATTAGATTAGAAAATCTGAAAAGATCAATAGGGTCAGTAAGACAAATAAATGATATTTTTCCCCTCACCAAATTGACCATTTACCAATTCAACTTGTGTTTTGGCATTCCATAGAAACTAACGGAGTCAGTAACTATGACCTTCTGTCTCAGAGAGGACCTGGATTACTGATGAAGTCCTTTTGGAGTGGGGTGTGTGTGTGTGTGTGTGTGTGTGTGTGTGAAAGACAAAGAGAATGTAGAAACTTCAAAGAGAATTACAACATGATGGGACTCTTGTAGTTTGTGTCTCCATATAAATTTTAATCATATTTATCTAATAACTGTGAACTATATTTGGAATATCATTCCTAGGATGCTCAATGCTTCTTTCCATCAACAATAATGTACTTGATAAATTAACCTTTAAAGTGTATTGGCTTCTCAGTCTAATTTCTGTTGAGTTATCATCCACATGCAGATAAATCCCTTGTCTTTATTTATACACTTAGTTTTTTAGCTATCTGTTTGGGAATTTATGTCAGCAAATACATTAGGTTTTTATTTGCCTGGTACCCGAATATTTCTCCTTAGTGATAATGACATGTTTGATAGGACCAGGTTGTCATGGCGGCACTGATGGGTAAACAATATTTAGGATAGAGGTCCTTATGAAGAGTATACCTAGTTTTTTTTTAAATATTGTAATGTAGCTTTCATTTCTAGAGGGGCCTCATAAAAGGCCCTTCTTCCCTTTGAAGGAAAAGTGTGTAAGTGCAGAGTCACTAATATTTACATGCAGGGAAAGCAATAATTCCTTTTTTTTTTTTTTAACAAAGCAGTAATTTCTTAAGTAACAAGTCAGATCAGTTCATTGGCGAGCCAGGAGCAATCCCAAAGTACAATGGCACATCTAAGCATACTGACTACATAGTTAGGGTCCAACTTTCTCCTGTCTGTCTGTGACTTCAGTTAGCTTAGTACGCACTGGTAGAGGGTTGAACAACACATTCATCTTTAGGCTGCAGAGACATCCTTGAGGGCTTGCAAGCACCTGTGATATGAGCATTGCTAACATAACACCAGAGAGAAGGAAAGACTGATGAGGTGTTAAGAATATTTATGACTTTATAGCTTTGAAGTTACAGTTTCAAATTTTGCATTGTGAAAAGAGAGTATGTTTAGATCAAAGATTTATAAGTATCTCTACATAACCTCAGTTATTTATCTCTTGAAAGTTTTGAAAATTTAAATCTAAAATCTATAAGTTATTATCTTCTTATAGTGAATGGATAGGTTTGTCTTATTTTTTACTTTACAAGAAATTAAACAATGTTACTGAATGTAACTTCCTTCTGATCTGGCTTTGCTTCTTAAAAGTCTCATTTTATTTGCAATACAATTTAATCCAAGTGTTCACCATGATAGCACATGTACTGTCTGTCTACAGACACCCTGTGAAGATTTATCAACAATTGTATTTATTATCTAGAGAGTCAAAAGAAAGGCTAAACTTTTCTTTTTCTCCTTACTCATGCTGAGATAAACTATGAGGAACCAAAGTGAATTCTTTCTGAAACCAGCTTTGCAGTAGTTTTTAATTTTTGACTTTGTGTGGAAGATTGTAAAGACACATATGAGAAATATTTGAGGGGAAAAAATCATGGTTTATACATAAAAATGGTATTTTTGAACAGTACGTTAAATAATTTTTAAAATATTTTGAACTGGTATATTTTGCCGTGGGGCTGGGAACAATTCCATATAAAAGCTTTCTCATGCTTCCAACTTTTCTTGCTACTAATATATCTACAATTTATGCTACTGAAAAGGAAAGAACCTTCCCTGAAACAAGTCTTAGTGTACACTATTGTGGGAAAAGATTCCTTTGATGTAATCAGAAATTTAAAACATGTGAAGTAAGTGGAGCTACTGGCCATGAGCCAGTGTTTTCTAGGAGAATGAGTTTTGAACTGGAATAGGAGAAAAGGGCTCCGGTCCTTACTCCCTCGCTATTAGGAGCATAACCATTGCCAACATGTAAAGTCATATCTTGGGAGAAGACTGAATTAGCTAAGGAATTCCCGAATAGCAGCGTACTTACTTAAAATGGTGTGCATGAAAGACACACACACACACACACAGAAAGACCAAATATTTCTGAACTCATGGTGACTTAAGGTCATTTCTGTCAACTTTGATCACCAATAGAGGATCAGTCATTCTCTTGAAATCCACATTCACTTAAAAAAAAATAGAGATAAAAGTGGCTTTGGTAGTTGTTGCTTCTGAAGCTGAAACATATCATTTTAGCAAATTAAACAAACAACTACCCAATTAACCTTCTGTCCAACTTTCTTTCCTTCTCGGAATTACAGGAGGAAGAGATTTTATGGACATTGAAAGTAAATTTGCTCTACGGACTCCTGAAGATACAGCTGAGGACACCTGCCACCTTATTCCTGGAGTGACAGAATCGGTGGCTAATTGCCACTTCAACCACAGCAGCAAAACCTTTGTGGTGATCCATGGCTGGACAGTAAGAGACTCTTTAGGAAGAAACAGATGGCTGGGAACCCATGATGGGTCTCCCATCCTGTACTATTCCCTGCTTTCTTATGGCTTTGCTTTAAGCTTGACTAGAGGCAATGATAGGTCTGGGTGAGACTGTGGAATGTTAACATAACAGGTTCACGAGTAGCTCCTGAGACAGTGCCAGCCTTCCTTCCATCACTATGCTGGGTTGGTGCCTTTGAGTCAGCTATTCCTGTGAGGTGGGAAAACAAGGCTCTGTTCAACTACAGAGGAGAATATAGGTTACCACTGCAGGGAGCCGATGAAATCCTGGCACAAGCCTGATTTCAAAGATCCTTTCCTAAGGAAGACAGCCTCTAAGAGTGAGGAGAGGCCTGCAGTAGAGTGAGGAGATGTTGGTTCTGGTTCTGACTTTGTCATTCTCTATCTGTGATGTGGATCAAGTCACACCTCTGAGCCTCAGTTTACTGATTTGTAAAGCAAAGAAGTTGAACTAAACACCCCTTCAACATTTTCTAACTGTAAGCTTTTACTGAGTTTTTCTAGAAATAAAAGAGGGCTACCGAGGGAACAGCCAGGCAAGATGATTAGAAAAAGTGAAATCTATGGTCAAAATTACTTTTAAAGTATATGAAGTTGTTTTCTCCAAATACGCCAGGTAGTAACTTTACATGTTACAGTTCTTGCTTAACTATTTTACTTGTTTTGCTTTTTCAATTTTCAATCCCTAGTGAGCAGATTTCACTGTTCATTAAAAAAAGGACTTAAAGATAATGGATGATTAGAGATATTATTTTTCCATTATGTCAGAGTTTGTGAATATGGTAATAGATACTTCAATCTAATGAGATGAATTAGCAAATCATTGCTATATACCCAGTCCTAATTTCCTTTGCCACATAATTTAAGTGGCTTTGTTATTTATAGTATTGGACAATTCACACAACTTTTATGGAAATGATGTAACTACTATCAATTCACAGGAGTTTAATAAAATACATCTAGAGTTAACTGTAAATTTACTATCTTATAGTTGCATCTAATAAAAAATTAAATATTCACATTCTTAACATAAACCTTATAGCTTGAGAGATTTAAATGAAAAAAGTAATCTGTTGGTTTTGAAGATATTTTAATTGTGTATAAAACTTGGCTTTTAATACTTTAAAAAGTTTAATAAGCATTTATATGGCAGGGATAAATGCATTATTTCAGGCATCACCATCTTATTATCTTTGAGAGGATTTTATACTTTAGGAAATTTTGAAAAACATGTTTCTTTTTTAAACTAAGAGGATATAATATCTGTCTATAGTGCTGGTTTCCATCATGTATCCACTGCCCACCAAGCCCACTTGTATGCCTCACAGTGCCCTGGTAGTTTGTGCCTAAGCTCAGAGTCCCAGCTGCCTGAGGCTGTTTCATCACACGGAGCTGGCCGGTCTGAGCAATAGCTGATACAGCCAGGCCAGACGGACCACCGACCACAGCTCATGCCATGAGCTCCTTTGCTGGCTCAGCTGAACCACCTGGTGCAGGTAGTAAAGTGGACTTCAGTTCAGCTGTGGGTCTGAGAATCAAAGGTTTTAAAAGTTGGTACTGATTTAAGAAACCTCCAAAGATAACCTCAGAAGATAATACCTCTTCAGAGCTAAAGTAGGTGAATTTTTTGATTTTCCACCATGTTTAAAGTACAGCAGTATTTTGAATTGAATTGAAAAACAAAAATTGCTTAGTTGTTACGCAGCTAATAGAGGTATCAGTCCCTGGAAGAGTAAGCTGGGTCCCTTGACCTTTGACAGTCTGCCTAACTTAGAAACATGGATAGTACAGAAAAACACCAAAACTAAATGACTGGATCAAGAAGATGTGGTACATATACACAACAGAATATTACTCAGCAATCACAAAAGATAAACTCATGCAGTTTGCAGCAACATGAATGGAGCTAGAAGGGATCATGCTCAGCGAAATAAGCCAGAAAGAAAAAGAAAAATACTGGATGGTCTCACTCATAGCAGGAATTTAGAAAACCTAAATAAGGGACCAGGAAAGACTAATTAATACAAAGTAAAAATCAAAATCGACAAGCAACAATAAACTAGAGACACACTACGGCGGGGGTGGGGGGGTGGTGTCAGGGAGAGGAAGGATTAGAGTCAAAATAAGAGGGGGTGCAATTATATGGGGAATATAACCAAAATTAAAATGCATAACATACATTGTGCAAAAATGAAAAATGATGTAAGAATTATATAAAATAAAATATTAAAAAAATAGATTAAAAAAAACCTTATAGTAGGGGTTTAGAGCAAACGTTTTCCTGCCTTATCTGAGATAAGCTGCTCAGTGACTCAAGGGTATAAGATAAAAGGAAGTGAAGAGTGTTTTCAGTTTTGTCATGAGTAAGGCAGAAGAATGCTTAGCATATAGTGTGCATTCTAGGGAAGCAGCTTTAGACACCACTGTCCTAGAGCTGGGCCATCTGCTTGGGCTTCATGGGCCAGTATCTGATGTACAGGGTTCTCATTGTGATGCATGAGGACCTCACGCTAGGCAGGAAAAGGGAGTGATTATGTTTGCATTCTGAAGGAATTGTATCATCCTCCCTTGGAAGGCATCTGTGAAAGTGGCCAGTCCCCAACCTCAAAGAGAGAACAAACCACACAGGACTAATTTCTCAGCGTTTTGGGCTAGGTGGGGGTTATAGCTGGTTCCCTCAAAGACCCAGGATGCACTCAGACTTGAAGCAGTCTCACCAAGACATGTGCAAAGATATTTAAATAAGTTCCTAATGAGCTACTTCACCTTTGTACCTTTTCTTCTTTGTTTTCTGTTTGTGTTTGAAATAGTTAAAGAGCTGACATTTTAACACTGCAAGTAGTAGGTTGGGGACCAGAATGGTCACAAGAAGTAATTTACAAGGTGAAGGGTAACTTCAAGATCATCTGAATCTTTTGTTTACTTGGTGACCTAGTAAGGTTAAAGCAGTGCCTATGTTCCTAGAAGCAATTAGTGGAAAGCTGGGACTAGAAGAAACAACTCCTAAGTCACAGTCTTGCTTTTTCCCACCACAGAACACAGCAATGTCCTGAAGAGTTTGTTAGTGTCAGGAGTGAAGTGAGAGCTCATGTTTTGATAGTTTTGGTTTAGAAAATAGATAAAGATGGAAATAAATCTGAAAGAAATACCACTTAAGATGAAAGTTCCAATTCCCTTAGTGAGGGAATTCAACTTCCTTTTTATTGAATTACTCTAAGAATATAGGTTTTGCAGATCTCCCCCAAAAGCCAGCTTAAACATGGATTTCAGGATCTTGTTGTCCACTGAGTACACAAATTGGGTAACCTTTACTGACTACAATATGATCTTCTCTGAGGATATATTAGGGGTGGGTGAATTTGAGAATTTAAATCCGATTGTTGCCATAGCAAGATGGTATGGGATTTTATAATCTGCAGGTTTTAATGTGTTTAAATTATTTTACAGTGTGCATCTTTGTGAAGATGTTCAACGTCTCCTCTCTAAAAGCATGACTCAAAACTCAACATAAACAGAGTTGACTTAGCAACCTCATAGCTCTTTTGTTTTTGAATATGGGGGCCTTCAATGACAAGAAGCCAAGAATTATAGCTGGCAGTATGCATAATTCCAAACAAGACCAATATGGGAAATGCAACTATTAAAACTCATTAACTTTCACTCTGAAAGTTAAGAAATTTGAGAGAATTATGAAAAAACTCTAAGCTGAAGCTGATCATTTTCTTATGTATTGAGAAATTGCTAAGCAAACTTACTTTCTCTTACAATATGCTTAAAAATATTTTTTTGCCATTAGCACATCAAATGTATTAACATTGATATGCCCTCAAATAATTGTTAGGAAATTCGTAAGTCTAACTGAAAGTAATTAAATTAAATTTCTTTTCAAATAGTCTGTTATTCTGGTACAAAGTTTTATCCCATTCAGATTGATCTTTCTGTTTGATATTATGAATTACTGAAGTTTTACTACAATTATAAAATATATCCAGATGAACTAACAATTATTGCTACAAAATTTACAGAAATTAATTATTCTCTGAATCTAAGTTTCATTCCACTCTACTACTCCAAAATTTCTGTTTCTGTCCACCAATATAATAAAGAATAGTTTGTCAAGTGGAAACAAAGTATTGGATAAAACTATTCAAATTTTACAGCAAACCTTAGGTGGCACCAGGACTAAAAGAATTGAGGAAGTATAAAAGTACAATCAATCAGTGGCTTAAAGCACATACTAATCCAAAAAATTTTTGAACAAAAATAAAAAAATAAGGGCCTCCCCTGGTGGCGCAGCAGATGAGCGCTGGGTTGCGAGGCTGCCTGCAGCCTCTGCAGCGCCAGTTCGATCCCCGGCCACCAGCGAGGGTCCCACAAATGAATAAATAAATAAATAAATAAATAAATAAATAAATAAATAAATAAATAAATAAATAAAATAAAGTGCTAGAACTCATGCTAAAAGATCATGCTCAATTATGTGTTTTAAGTATTCTTTCTAATAATTACTGATTTTTGTTATTTTAAGATACTTTTAAAATGCAGCATCAACTATAGAATTATGTATTTTCAAAAATGATTACTATCAAGATCTTATTTTTACCAATTTCAATTCTTACCAATTAACAGAAGTATTTAAAGGAAGGATACAGAGTATAATATAAAATTATGTTTCTCTGAATATGATGAATACAGAATATTTTATCACTATTACTTCTGAATCATAATATAGTTTTTGAAAAAAAATTAAAAAGATAAAATTACAAGTGTGGTAAGCCCCAGTGTGCCATTTCTAAATTCAAGATCTTTTGCATAGCCAACTTGGCTTCAGAAGGAGCAAGCACAAGTCTCTTTGTGTTTAATTTTTGTGTCAATTAAAGGCCTTCCTTATGGACTTTTTTATTTTTCAATTTAATGTAGGTGTATTGGGTTGACAACTATAACAAGTTTGTAGATTGGTATTTTAAGAAATGTCTTGTTTACCACTCTTTTCAGGTAACAGGAATGTATGAGAGTTGGGTGCCAAAACTTGTGGCAGCCCTGTACAAGAGAGAACCAGACTCCAACGTCATTGTGGTGGATTGGCTGTCCCGGGCTCAGCAGCACTACCCTGTGTCTGCAGGGTACACCAAGCTGGTGGGAAATGATGTGGCAAGGTTTATCAACTGGATGGAGGTGAGGCTGGGGAAGGGCTCTTAACTGTCCAAGAGAGAACTCTCATCTAGAGCTGGGCAAATGACTGGTGGTCTTTGTTCCTTTTCACTTAGATACAGATATTTTCTGGAGCAATTCAACCCTTCAGAATGAGCATAGTCATTTTTTAGATGAAAGCACATTATGATAGAATGATTAAAATTATAAAATCCTGCCTTCCCTGTCTTTTGATATTTTCATAGTGAACAGATCCGCTGACCCCAAGAGTCAAGTAGGCAGAACAAGCAAAAGTTTGTTATTTCAGGACAGAGGGGAGATGTCATGTTCAGCCAAATACTTCCCAACCAGTTGATTAGCTCATGGAAGTTTTATCTTGACTTTGACCCTTGTTAGAAAACCAATCCTTTTGACAAAAGTATTAATAGTACTTATTCCTTAGTGTGTTTAAGGATCTAGATTTTTTGTTGAGGGTTGAGAGAAATGAGAGTTGAGCTAGGAAAGGAAGATCTATAAGATATGAGATTGGGACTCCCTGGTGGCACAGCATCTGAGCGCTGGGCTGCGAAGCTGCCTGCAGCCTCTGCAGCACCGGTTCGATCCCTGGCCACCTGCAAGTGTTCCACATGGTGTACAGATCTCTCCTGTCTTGCCTGCTGCTTCCCTCAGCAGTGTCCTCTATATGTCTGCCTGTTCTGCTCCCCACTCTGGCTCTGGTGAATTCTCTCACCCTCCCACGCTTCTTCTGACTGTACCCAGTGCTTGTATAAATAAATAATCTTTAAAAAAAAAAAAAGATATGAAGTTGCTGAAGGTCAGGTGTTCTGAATTTGGTGTCAGTTTTATCCACTTGTCAGCCTCTAGAAACTACCTTAGAAAGGTCTCTTAGAGTTGAAAGGAAGCTAGTATTCCGGCAGGGCCAAATAATTTAAACCAGATCCTCGGAGGAAAAGAGTAAGCTATGTTAATTGGACTAACTATTAAAGGATAAATGTTCTTGACTCTTGCTAGTCAAGAGAGTGAACTAGGGAAACTCAGATCTCCTTCTTGGGCCTCAGGCTTCTCATCTCTTGAATGAGGAGGTGGATCATATGTGCCTGCGGTCTCTTCCCACTGTAATATTTTCTCATTACAGAGGTTGCTTGGATAAACTTAGAGTAAAGTGACACAGTGAATTTAGAATATGGAATAATAGTTTAAAGTCAAATATGTTTGTATTTGTATATCTGTGCATCTCTGTATATGCTCTATATAAACTGGCATATATAATCTCGTGTTGATATTTTTTCTTTAACAACATATTTGAATTAGAAAGCTTTTTTACACATATGAAATTGTATTATGTAGAAATATATATTTATATGTATTTATGTTATATATGTATGAATATGTATATGTGTATATTTATCACTATATCTCAGTAGACACATATATCTATATAGAGATGTATCATATACACATATATATGTGTACATGAATAAATACATATGATATGATTTCAGACATGGAAAACTTAATTTAAAAATGTTCTAGAGGCCTCCCTGGTGGCACAGGGGTTAATGTCTCAGCACTATCAAGCTATTGCCAGCTACCGTGGCCTGAGTTCCATCCCCAGCCAGGGAGTTAACCCACATGGCGCAGAAGACCTCTCCTGTCTTGCCTGGTGCTCCCCTCAGCAGTGTATTTCTAGATCCACGTGTTCTGCTCCCCACTCTATCTCCAGTGAATCCTCTGAACCACTGCACCTCTGGCCTGCACTCCAGTTCTTCTATGCATAAATAAAAAAAGTTATGAAAGAGAAAAAATCAAAGTACATTTCTCTTGTTACACAAAATTAAAATAAGTAGTATTGATTTCAGTATTGCCTATATTTTGAAAACAATGTATGCATATTTGCATTCATTTTATTTCCTTTAGTTTTCATCTTTGGCAAAGAACTATAAGCACCCTTTTTCCTTTTTCTCTTCCAAAGGAGGAATTTAACTATCCTCTGGACAATGTCCATCTCTTGGGATACAGTCTTGGAGCCCATGCTGCTGGCATTGCAGGAAGTTTGACCAAAAAGAAAGTTAACAGAATTACAGGTAAGCAAATGGTCATTTGTCTTTTTTTAAAAAAAAGATTTATTTAGGGCCTCCCCTGGTGGTGCAGCGGTTGAGCTTTATTTATTTATTTATTTATTTTATAAATAAAATAAATATTTTTGAAAAAGATGTATTTATTTATACAAGCACTGGGTACAGTCAGAAGTGCGGGAGGGTGAGAGAATTCACCAGAACCAGAGCGGGGAACAGAACAGGCAGACTGACGAAATACACTGCTGAGGGGAGCAGCGGGCGGCAGGAGAGGTCTGTGCGCCATGTGGGACCCTCACCAGTGGCCGGGGATTGAACCGGCACTGCAGAGGCTGCGGGCAACTTCACAACCCAGTGCTCAACCACTGCGCCACCGGGTAGGCCCTAAATAAATCTTTATAAAAAAAGATTCATTTATTCATAAAGACTAATTATAATAAAGCAAAAATCAAAATCAACAAGCAACTATAAATCAGAGACACTCTACAGGAGAGGGAGGAGGGAGTAGGATCAAAACAAGGTGGGGTGGGAATTGTATGGGGACTATAACCAAGATGAAAATGCACATATTTTGCAAAAATGAAAAATGATGTAAAAAATATATAAAATTTAAAAATAATAAAAAAATTAAAAAAAATTATTTACTCATGTGTACAAGAACCAGGGTATAGGCCAGATGTGTGGGAGGGTGAGAGGATTCACCAGAGACAGAGCGGGGAACGGGGAACAGAACAGGCAGACTGACTAAACACACTGCTGAGGGGAGCAGCGGGTGTGACAGGAGAGGTCTGCTGCGCCATGTGGGTATCTCCCCGGCCGGCTGGGATCAAAACCATGCTGCAGAGGCTGCAGACAGCTTCACAGCACTGTGCTCAACTTCCTGCACCACCAATAGGCCCAGTCATTTGTCTTATCACAAAAGAATTGAGATGTTCATCGCTCTGAAAGAGAATCAGACTGTTTGTCAATACCTATATTCGTGTAGATCTTTTGGGTATGTCCAGTCACCTGATTATCTCACAGAGGACTCTTTCTAGAGTAAGATAAATATAAGGTTTTTGCTCCCATGGGCTTACTAGCTACGAGCAGTAAAACAGAAATAGAGCCAATAGTATCTCTGAGAAACCTGCTCCTCCCATACTTCTTTTTCGTGCTGTATTAGTGTAATGCATACAATACTTCTTACATCAGTGCCTGGAAACAAGAAAAAGGACCAATACAGAGACCATTTGGGAAAAACAAGAGTCATCTTGGCAGTGTAAATTAGATGGTTTGGCATCTACCAAGAGGAGAAGAAAAGAAATCTCCCACTGTTTAAAGGTCTTCTCACCAAGTTCAGAAATAATTTACAATGGGAAGTCAAGTCATCTTGAGTGAAAAATTGCTATATGGTCCTAGTTTAATGACTAAAATTTCATTTTTCAACTAAAATTTCATTTTAGAAGGATCACTAAACCTACTTTTGTGACACTTAGTAATTTAAAGATTCAATTGTTACAGGCTAAGAACTAATAAGAATCTCTGTGGCTTCCAGTTACATTCAAATAGTGAGAAATGCAATGCTAAGTGATACTTGTGAAGAATAAAACTAATGGAGATTGAAAAATCTATGAGACCTTTTTCTTTTTGTTTCATTTAGGCTTAGATCCAGCTGGACCTAACTTTGAGTATGCGGAGGCTCCAAGTCGTCTTTCTCCTGATGATGCAGATTTTGTAGATGTCTTACACACATTCACTAGAGGATCACCTGGAAGGAGCATTGGAATCCAGAAACCAGTGGGGCATGTTGACATTTATCCTAATGGAGGGACTTTCCAACCAGGATGTAACATTGGTGAAGCTATTCGTGTGATTGCAGAGAAAGGTCTTGGAGGTATATATGATTTAGAAGTTAATTGAATGTAAATTTTGTTAATTCTTACAAATCCAGTGTCCTACCTATTCTCCACAAGAACACAGTTTAAATATACATATTAGCCAAGATATGTTTCTGAAGAAGTCTGTCATATTCAACATGGTCACCTAAGAATCTAATCCTTTCCTGCGATCAGACAGTTTATCTTTTATGTACTGTATTATAGACTAAATTAACTACTTGCAATAATAAAAAAAAGAAAAGGTGAAATTTAAACAAAACTCTACTACCCCTGGTAAGAACAACATAAACTATTATTTTATTTTATTTTACTTATTTTAATTATTTTACTTTTAGTTGCAAAGCCAGGAGAATGATTTTGAATCTTACTGAAAGTAAAGGAGGTGTTACTTAGTTCAAATTTCCTTGTTAGCCTTTTAAAGAGACATGAACATCAAAAACAAATCACCATTCTCCAATAATAAATCCTCTAAAACTTTAAAGAAATATGATTTAACAATCTTTAATAATGTTAGTTGTGGTAAAATTATGATTTAAGGGACCTCTGTATACTTTGTAGACAATGGGACCTACCTGTATTCAGTATAGTCAGGTTTTTTGTGAACATGTTATGGAACTTAAAGAGAAATGTAATCATTTTCACTTGTCATAAAACTTTATCATAATAGATGCATTCCTTTTTTTTAAAGATTCATTTTATTTATTTATGCATACAAGAGCTGGGGTATAGGCCAGAGGGGTCGGGGGTGGTGAGAGGATTCACCAGAGACAGACTGGGAGCAGAACAAGCAGATCTATTGAAATACGAGACAGGAGAGGTCTCCTGTGCCATGTGGGTAGCTCCCTGGCCAGGGAACTCATGCTGCAGTGGCTGCTGATAGCTTCAGAGTGCTGAGACTTAACTCCTTATGCCAGCAGGGAGGACCAATAGATGTATTCTTATGAGATTACTGGCTATCTCTATGATTCATTTAATGTAAACATCACAACCCTCATTTAGACATAGTAACTGTAATAAAATACTGTTCCTTTAACAATGATACCTTTTACCATGTGGTTTCTAGTAGTACATTTCTAGGAGTATCTACAAGTATTCGATGCTTTCAATATAAGAGAAGGATGCAATAAATTGAAAGAAATCAGCCTTTACCTTGGATGCCTCTTGTTATAGCTTCATAAACATATTGAAGACCAAAGAAAAGTCAAAAGTACACTCTAAATTTGCACTTTTGACACTCTTAAATGTAGGTGAGCAGTTATCTTGGATCTATATTCAAGGATTAATAGGGCTAGATCATGAGGTCATTTTATTCTAACACCATAGTTAAACTAAGATGATTATTCATTATAGACTTACATGAGTTGGAATGTTCTTATCTCTCTGATTCCTCAGATGTGGACCAGCTTGTGAAGTGCTCTCACGAACGTTCCATCCACCTCTTTATCGACTCTCTGTTGAATGAAGAAAATCCCAGTAAGGCCTACAGGTGCAATTCCAAGGAAGCCTTTGAGAAAGGGCTGTGCCTGAGCTGCAGAAAAAACCGTTGCAACAACTTGGGCTATGAGATCAATAAAGTCAGAGCCAAAAGAAGCAGCAAAATGTACCTTAAGACTCGTTCTCAGATGCCCTACAAAGGTAAGTGGAGACTATTGGAAATGAGGAAAATCAGTTAGTCCTATTTTTTAAATCAGATTGTGTCACATCTAATATTTCTGTCTCTTGCAACAGAGATAATGAAATGAATGTTACTAAACAACAAGCCCTCACCTGGGTTTCTGTTGGTAGAGAGGGAACTGCACTGATCCATCTTACAGAAGTTCTTAATTCTTATTGTCAGTAAGACATAGCGCACAGCTCACACTGTTCTCTGCAGTGGTCCTGCTTGCCACCCTCTTCTGTAATTTTGACCTTTCACATGAACCAGACTATCAGCACCAAGCTTGGAGTAAATTTGAAGCCATCAACCAGGGTCAGCAAACTATGACCCTTCAGCCAAATTCATTCCACCACCTGCTTTTGCAAATAAAGTTTTCTTAGAACAGGGCCACCTGCAGTCATTTCTGTATTGTCTAAAACAGAGAGTTCAATAGTTGGAACAGAATTGTATGATCCACAAAGTCTAAAATATTTACTTTCCTGTCCATGACAAAAAGTTTGCCAATTCTTAAACTTTTCTTTAAGTGAAGGCAAGAATCATTTGCATTTTAAAGTGTGGCTATTCCTGGGAGAGTTGATTTCAAATTTGGTATCTGTTTAGAACAAGACCTAAAATAATCAAGGAGATGAGAAGAAATATTCAGATAAATCTGGCAGTGGGAACTAATATCAGAAAGGCTGGTTCATTTGGACTGCAGGTGGAATTCCCAGGGATGGGATGGTATTAAAGAACAATTTGCCAAGGTAAATTACTTCTGATAGAGGCACCCACTTAGGGGGAGATTTGCTAGTATCTGTAGATGTACATTCAGTGTCCCAGAGATTTGGAACACCTATAATTCAAGGAAATATTTTAGACAATGAGCGAACCCTTAGTTTCCCTGGTTCTTCAGAACCAGGAAATGTGTGTTTTGTACAGAGGAGACTATAGTCTTCTGAAGACCCAGGTGGGGCTCACTCATTCCCAGTCTCCCTTGTGGTGCCACTCTGTGCCCTCAGTGTGCTCTGGGGCACTTCTGCAGTCTCATCTAATCCCACTCTTGTTTGTGGTACTGACTGAAGGGTTCTGTTTAACCCCAAACTGTGCTTCTCTTTACCCTTTTATTTGCTGTGTCTATTTCCCCCAAACTCTGTTTTTTTTTTTATTGTGTCTTAAGCTTGCTGCCTTTCCTACCCCTGTAACCTTTCTCCCATCCCATCTACCTGGATTTTTGGTTGGGTGGGGTAAAGAAGGGGAGGGATGTAGAAGTTCAGGTACCTGCTTCCAGAGGTGGTCTTAAAACAGGAAAAATGATGGAAAAATATATCAAATTTAAAAATAATAAATAAAAATGGATTGTGAAATCAAAAAAATAAAACAGGACACTTCAGAAACTGACTTTGCAAGACAGTCCTTACAGCCTCACTGATGAGTCAGTGACATAAGTTTTATTGTGAGTCTACTACATACCTACTCTGTTCTAGGTAGTTGGGGAATGTAGGGAATGAACATGACCCTCTGATTTGAAGGAGATTACAAATAGAGTCGGAGATCAGGCATACCCATGTAACAAGTGCCAGATATGCTTGCTGCAGATGCTAAGGAACAAGAGAGCCAAGGAAGGGTAGAGCCCATGAAGAAGGAATCGTGTGTGTTTTGGTGTCTTGCTTTGATCTCCCTAGTAGTCCATCAAAGATGACTCCTTTCTAGGACTACTAGTTCAGATACATTTGCATTTTTCCTATCCACAAGAAAACCCTATGTTTCTGAAAGAGTAGAATTCAAGGTCTGAATTTTATAGTAACAAACCCTGTATAGACTTGAAAAAATACTTCCAAGCCACATCGATACTTGTGTGTTTGGTCACTAGTGAGATGAGGTCTGTGTTCTGAATTCCAGCTTGTTTGAGGGCTGTGTTGTTTCCATAGAGATTTATCAGCACTTGTTCTACTTTCACCCCTACAGTCTTCCATTACCAAGTGAAAATACATTTTTCTGGGACTGAGACTGATACACAGACTAACCAGGCCTTCACAATCTCTCTGTTTGGCACCGTGGCTGAGAGTGAGAACATTCATTTTACCCTGTGAGTAGCCACATGACATTACTCCTAGTGTCTGGGTTCATTGGGGGCATTGCTGCCTGCTGTCACCATTGATCTGAGGAGCAGAGGAGGAAGGGGATACCTACAAAAATAAATAATCAGTAGAAAAATTTTAAAAAGCTATACGCAAGTGATGGTCATTGCATTGGCACATGACACAGTCGGTATCCAGCATTGAGACAATGGATAACTGAATTGTAGTTCACTTAAATCATATGACCTCTAAAGCTGTAGTTATAGAAAACTAGGCAAAACATGGTAAAAGTAGAAGGCAAAATATGAAGTGAATAGTGCTCACTTCAGCAGCATATATATTAGAATTAGAGCAATACAGAGAAGATTAACACGGCTCCTGGGAAAGGATCACATCCAGATTCCTGAAGGATTCCATATTTTAAAAATCCAGTGAACAAAGAGAATTGTGTGTACATTATGACTACAACAAACTAAATATATGTTTGTATATTAAATACAAATTGAAATATAATGCATGCAAATGAAAATGTCTGAATTATTGCCTATGAATATTTTTCTTTTAAAAATTGTATTAGTTCATATTGTTACAAGTTGGAATAAATTAAAGAGTATAGATATCTTAAAAGATACTAGATACCGGGCCTACCTGGTGGCGCAGTGGTTGAGCGCCATTCTGTGAAGCTGCCCGCAGCCTCTGCAGCCCTGGTTCAATCCCTGGCCACTGGCAAGGGTCCCACATGGCATGCAGACCTCTCCTGCCATGCCCGCTGTTCCTCTCAGCAGTATACTTCCTCAGTCTGCCTGTTCTGCTCCCTGCTCTGGCTCTGATGAATTCTCTCACTGTCCCCCGCTTCGGACTCTACCCAGTGCTTGTATAAATGAATAAATCTTTAAAAAAAAAAAAAAGATACTAGATAGATACCATTGGTACCCTTCTTCAGTATTTTGTTGGAATTTTATTTTGCATTTTTTAAATATCCCCCAAATAATAAAGCTATCTATTGTGGGAGAAAGAAAAAAGAAAGAAAAAAAAAGAAAGAAAAACAAAAAGAAAAAAGGGGAAAAAAACCCTTATTTCAAGAACTAATTAAATGTTATCTTTTTTTTTATTCAGGCCTGAAGTTTCCACAAATAAGACATATTCTTTCCTGATTTACACAGAAATAGATATTGGAGAACTGTTAATGATGAAACTCAAATGGGAGAGTGATTCATATTTCAGCTGGTCAGACTGGTGGAGCACCCCTGGCTTTGCCATTGAGAAGATCAGAGTCAAAGCAGGAGAAACTCAAAAAAAGTAATTAAATGCATTTTTCTTCGTTCATTTTAGAGTCACCCTAATAGTATTTCTGGAGCCTTCAACATTCAGATGAAACTTTAGTAAGGTCTTTCCTTTCTTCCTTTCATTGATATTGAGTTACAAAACTGTATGGGATTCAAAGGCATGTGATCATACCTTCAATCCATAACTCTATCCTGGGGTATTTAGATTGTTTAAATAACTTGACTATTGTAAATTAGAGTGCAGTACTCATAAGGGATCATTATGTCCTTTTAATTAGTGTTTTTGCATTCTTTGGGTAGATAGCTAGGATTGAAATTGCTGAATCATATGGTAGATCTATATTTAATATTTTGAGAAACCACCATGCCTTCATCTATACCAGTGGGACTAGTCGACATCCCCACCGACAGTGTATGAGGGTTCCTTTTTCTCCACATCCTGACTAGCATTTGTTGTTTCTGGTGTTTTTGATACTGATCTTTCTCAAAGGAGATGGTATCTTGTGGTTTTGATTTACATTTCCATGGTGACAAGGGATGTAGAGCATTTTTAAATATGCCTGCTGGCCATCTGTATATTTTCTTCGGCAACATGTCTATTTAGTTCTTCTGCTCATATTTTGATTGTGTTCCTTGTTTTCTCTTGGCTCCTTTGTCATGGATTAACTGTCCATAGATGGGTGATTTATTTCTGGACTCTCAATTCTGTTCATTGGTCTATGTATCTGTTTTTGTTTCAGTATCATAATATGTATAGTTTGGAGTCTGGGAAAGTGATGTTGCCACTCTTGCCTCTTGCTTTGTCAGGATTGTTTTGGCTATTTGGGGTCGTTTGGACTCCATATGAATTTCAGAATGTCTGTTCTATTTCTTTGTAGAATGTCACTGAAACCTTGATTGGGATTGTATATTGAATCTGCATATTACTTTGTGCAAGATGGCCATTTTAACAATTTTCCAATCCTTGAGGGAATATTTTTCCATTTGTCTTTAATTTAATATCTTATGGTTTTCATTGTACAGGTCCTTTAATTCCTTTGTTAAGTTTACTCCTAGGTATTTAATTCTGTTGCCATTATGAATATGATTGTTTTCTTGATTCATTCTCCTCTAATTTGTTATTTGCATGTAGAAAAAAAAAGATTTTTGTCAATTGATTTTATAACCTGTCACTTTACTGTATTTATTTATTTATTTTTTTTAGTGGAGTCTTTAAGGTTGTCTATGTATCATCTCCAAATAGTGAGTGTTTTAAAATCTTTCCCAACTTAGGTTCCTTTTTATATCTTCTGTTGCCAGTCCTCTAGCTGGGACTTCCAATACTATATTGTATAGTAGTGGTTAAAACATCCCTGCCTTGGGCCTCCCCTGGTGGCGCAGGCTGTTGAGCACAGCGCTGTGAAGTTGTCCGCAGCCTCTGCGGCACTGGTTCCATCCCGGCCGGTGAGGGTCCCACATGGCATGGCAGACCTCTCCTGTCGCACCCGCTGCTCCCCATGGCAGTGTATTTAGTCAGTCTGCCTGTTCTGTTCCCCTCTCTGACTCTGGTGAATCCGCTCACCCTCCTGAGCATCTGGCCTGTACCCCGGTTCTTGTGTAAATGAATAAATCAATCTTAAAAAAAAAAAAAAAATCCCTGTCTTGTTCCAGATCTTAAAGGAAAAGCTTTAAATTTCTCACCATTGGGCCTCCCCGGTGGCGCAGCGGTTGAGCGCTGGGTTGCGAAGCTGCCCGCAGTCTCTGTGGCGCCAGTTCGATCCCCGGCTGCTCCCCGGCCACCAGAGGAGGGTCCCACATGGCACGCAGACCTCTCCAGCCGCCCGCTGCTCCCCTCAGCAGTGTACTTCGGTCCTTATGCCTGTTCTGTTCCCCGCTCTGGCTATGGTGAATTCTCTCACCCTCCCACGCTTCTGACTGTACCCAGTGCATGTATAAACAAACAAACAAACAAACAAAAAAATAAAAAAAAAATGCCTCTATTAAAAAAAATAAAATAAAATAAATTTCTCACCATTGAGTATGATGTTGGTCATGGGATTGTCATAAATTGCCTTCAGTGTGTTGAGGTATGTTCCCTTTAGCCTCGGTTTTTTGAGCTTTTTTTTTAATCACAGATGTTGAATCTTAAATGCTTTCCCTACATCTGTTGATATAATCACATGATTTTTATCTTCCCTTTTGTTGATGTGGTAATTTACATTGATTGATTTTCAGATGGAAGACCATCCCTGTGTATCTAGAATAAATCCCACTTGGTTGTGATATTTGATCCTCTTGATGTATTGTTTAACTTGGTTTATTAAGATTTTGTTGAGAATATTTTCATCTGTGTTCATCAAAGAAATGGCTTGTAATTTTCTTTTTGTGATCTTTTTGTCAGGTTTTGATAGAATGTGTTCAGAAGCATTCCTTCTTTCTCAATTTTTTTGTAAGAGTTTGAGAAAGTATTAGCTCACCTTTGAAAGTGTAGTAGAAGTCTCTAGTGAAACCATATGCACATGGGCTTTTGTATTTTGGGAGACTTTGATTACTGTTTCCATTTCCTTGCTCGTGATTGATTTGTTCAGGTTTTCTGTCTCTTCCTGATTCAGTTTTAGGGGGCTATCTATCGATTTCGAAGTATTTGTCCACTTTGTCAATTTGTTAACATATAGATGTTTATAGGAATTTCACATGCTCTAAAGTTCTGGAATGTTTGTTGTAACTTTCTTTCATTTCTGATTCTATTTATTGGCGTTTTCTCCCTTTTTATTCTTAGTGAGTCTAGTTAAAAGTTTACCTATTCTGTTTATTTTTACAAAAGCAAAACAAAACAACTTTTGGTTGCACTGATTCTTTAGACTCTCTTTTTATTTCTGTTTATTTTTCCAAATTGTTATTATTTCCTTCCTTCTACCACCTTTTGGTTTTATTTGTTCTTTTTCTAATGCCTTAAGGTAGGAGTTAAGGCTGATTATGTGAGCTCTTTCTTGTTACCTGATGTTGGCCTATATTGCTTTATATCTCCCTCTTAGTACTGCTTTTGTTCTTCTAATTGGTTGTGTCTTTCATTTTCATTCATCTCGAGGTATTTTTAAAAATTTCTTCCTGATTTTCTTTCTTACCTAATGGTCATTCAGTAGTGTTTATAGTCAGCATCCATATACTAAGGATTTTTCCTGCTTTCTTTTTGAGGTTTATTTGTCCTTTGATACCATTATGATACTTGATATGATTTCACGCGTCATGAATTTATTGACACTTGTTTTTTGATCCAGCATGTGGTCTATCCTGAATGTCCCATGTTAAGCTTTGTCTTTAAAACATATATGACATAATTAACCTATAATATTTTAGGAATTTTCTTTCATTATCATGCTAGAAAAGTAATAGTATTTAGGCATTTATTGGAAGGAAAACTAAGTCTTGAGTTGGTCAATTATTAAGTGATAGCTGAAATTAGAAGTCAGCTTCCAATTTAGTACTATTTTGTGTGAACACAAAGAAGTTATGGAAATAGCATCAGAGATCCACTTTGACATTGAAAGATTAAAGCTAACCTCTTTTAGACATGTGAGGTTATCCTTCCCAGAGAATCTCATCCTATCTCCCCAACCCTAACCCAACATATAACTATAAAATTTCATAGAAAGCCACTTAAGATTTAAACTTCAAAATAAATGTATAGGGATATTGCAGACTATCATATGTCATTTCATTAATAAAAATGACTCCTTAAATTATGATTAATCCATTATTTATTTTGGTAATTTTCTTTGATATGGAAAAAAACAGAAAAAGAAAAGGAGAATATGGATGATATAAAAACTGTGTAGGGCATTTGTTTCTCTTGCAGAGTCAGTTGGATTCCTGAACTCACAGTCTAAGGGTGGTAAAGCTGATAAGTTGATCTTGTTTCATTTCTTTGTAAAAGCCAAGACTTTGTGGCTGTGATTTTATGACAATTCCAGTTTTAAGTGTATCTTGTCTAGATTGATTAACTAGATTTATTGCTGGATTATGGGTTATACTCTCAAATAAACTTCTGATTCAGATGTATTGCTAACCAGGATGTCCTGTCAACAGTTAATAATTAATATCAACTAGTTAAATAGAATGATCAGGTAGGTTTTAAATAGTCCTGACTGAACAAACATTTTTGAACAGTAGTTCTCATTGTTCCATATGGCACTTTCATTTTCTTCCCCAGGGTGATCTTCTGTTCCAGGGAGAAAGTGTCCTATCTGCAGAAAGGAAAGGCATCTGTGGTATTTGTGAAATGCCATGACAAGTCTCTGAATAAAAAATCTGGCTGGTAAGCACCATGGGCTAAACTCTTTTGGTCTCCTGAGCTTACATTCCAAGTTTCTACTTAATAAGTTGCTCTTCACTCCATAAAGATCTGCACTGATTTTTGTGACCAAAACCTCCAGGTTGTCCTGAAGGTTCAACCTTCACTGATCCATTTGCTTTTGGTAGTACTTCCTCTGTTTTTGCTCTTTCTGCCAGCTCTACCCACATTCAGGTGCAATTTTTAGATTTTTTTTTTTTACTCCTTAAATTACCATATATATTCACTTCCTTTTTATCTGTATTATACACCCCTTCTCCCTTTACAAATTCTATGTTCAGAGGTTGTAGCATAAGTTAGCGGTAATCATTGTGGATGCATTTCTTCTCAGGATGTCTCCAGGGGAGCGAAACACCATGTAGTCCTCATTTCTCCAAATGCCAGCAGACTCCAGGCAGAGAGCCAAAGGGGCAGCCTGTAGACATGAATCTCAACACTGCCAAAGATGAACTAGTGAAGTTAGAGCATAGGGGACAGTTCTCTTTCCATCACAAAACAACTCCCTGGCTCTCTCCCACCTGACATTTAAAGCTAATCCACATGGCAGCTGCCAGCTGAATCTTTCCAGAGAGTCATTCCTAAGTACAGACTAAGCATGTGATTTTCCCTATCATGAACTCCCATAATACGTCATTCTCTTGCTCTAGCCATTCTCTTGGTTATTGTCAAGTGCCAATGGGTTACATATATAAAGAAGGGCAAGCATAGATCATGACATAAAAGCCAGTAATACAAGAAATGATGGGAAGGTTTGGTCATGAGACCATCCTTTGATTTTTCACTTGTCTTCTCCCAGTCATATATATATACATACACACACACACACACACACACACACAAAAGTACAGAATAAAAGTACAGAAGTATATTAAATGCTGTACTATGTGGAGTATCTCTTACTTTCAATTTCTATTTTATAATATAATTTACCCATGTTCACTGTGGATAGATTAAAAAAAATAGGCAAAAATATGTTTAGTTGTTTATATTTTTCATTTTTTACAAAAATGGAATTATGGCATATATACTTTGAATGACAAGATGAGGACATTTAAATTAAAAAAATTAATGTAAAAGCATTCAAGGTAAACTTGGATGGAGAACAGTTACTGGTATTGATGTTACTGTTTTGTTTTTTCCTTATCACAAATGTAAGGTAATTTCACATTTGCATCACTTTTAGGAAGGAATTCCTACATGCTGTTTCATACATAGACACATATGTTCTCCTAAAATCTTTCACAACTTTAAGCCTATACATGAACGTAAAAACTGAAACTCAAATATTTATGAAATAACTTTAGCATTTAGAAAATATTTCTGGTCATATTTATATAAGTTGCAAGGATCTGTTTAGGAAAATTTAAAGATACATTCCTCATGATTACAAATTACAACAGGTATTTCATCAGCTTTTTTAATGCATTGAATCATTGAATTTTATATAGGAGGTAATTATAAAACAGACTAATAACTGCAGTTTTTTTCTGTCATTAATCAAATAAAAGATTCTCTTGCTCTCACTTTTTGATAACTCCTAAGGAATCTCATATCACAAGGAAAGAAAAGATATAGACATTGCATTTGACAAGTTTTAGAAATAAAATCTTCCTAAATTTTGCAATCATTTGGCTCAGTTCTCTGAAAATGATACTCATTGGCACATGGATAAGTAGATATTAGTGTCTTTCATTCCTACCAGAGATAGAGACTTGTAAAATACCAAGCATATAATAAATTATCCTTTTTCCTGTTTTTTTTTTCCTCAGAAAGTGGGCAAATATATAAAGAGAAGAGCACATGAATTCTGTGAAGAATGAAGTAACTTTTACTAAAGATGTCCAGTGCTTTGGATGGTTAAAGGTGGATTTTCCTGAGTATTAACCCCAGCTATATCTGTGCTAGTTATTTTAGGAGACAGTCTCAAATACTAAACAGTGGTTAATTCAATTTGAGGAATATTGGTGGCTTAAATAATACAAATCTTCCAACATTGAAAGACTGTAGATATGAAAAAACACTGCATTTTGTCCTTTGAGAAAGAAATAAGAATTCATGGGCTCATGATAAAATAAGAAAGCTTCTTTATGAACTGTGCTTAGCTATACCCCAAAATTGATTAGAACCTCATAATTCAATTGGAATTTCTGCATTTTCCTGACTCAAGATTTTCTCCAACTCTAAATGTAGAAAATTATGTTTTGTGCCATGAACCATACTCATTCACATGCTAATCAAAACACCTGACTATTTCTTGGAATGGTTCTCTTTTGCCATTGGGTTAAGACCTTGTGGCATGGAGAGAGAATGGGAGAATGGAGTTGATAAAGAATGGAACCTTAAGTAAAACACTCCCTGTTAACAGTTACATCATAACTAAGTTACAAATTAAAGGAGATAAAATTCAGATTGTTAATAGGCTTTATTGTTTATTGTTTAATGCTTGCTTTGTTGGAAGATTATATTTTTTATTCTCTGGGTAGATGTTTTAAAAGAGCCTATAAATCCTCAGCGGACTTAATTTTTAACTATAAGGAATAGAAATGATATCATAATTTTATTATGAGATTTTCAAAATTATATTCATTGATTTCAAATCATTTACAACCCAATAGTTATTGTCACTTTCTGGTTTATCACCTATTCTTCAGTGACTTTGAGCAAGTGTCTTTCTTCCATGGTTTTGATAAGAAAATTTGTATTCAAGGTCAAATTTTACATCATGCAAATACCTATAAATTTTCGACAAATACCATTTTTACTATATAAAAATATGGAAAAGTTACTGGGCTATATTAAGAAATAGTACTTATAAACTATTGTGGGGATCTGAAGAATCCTCTATTGTGTTACATGAAATGCCAAGAGTTGTTTTTAACAACTAGTAAAAAGTGAGCAATTATTTATATAAACTAGATCTCATTTTCAGAATGCTTTTCTATATATTAGTATAAAATGATAAAGAAGTCAAATATCTTAGAGAGCATTGCTGAGCACCTGAGCTGTGAACATGTGTGGGTATCTGAACACACACTCACATATCAGGTCCACATGTACATTTATTATTTAGCCTGGCTTCAAAGGTAAACAATGAAGAGAAATATTAGAACATATCTGAGTAGAAAATGTTCTGGAATTGCCAGAAACTCAGCTCTTTGTCTGAGAAATATGGTTGTGCCTGTGCAATGTGGAACAAATGTTGTCATCAATATCAGCAGGCTTGGAATGCATTCTCTCTAAAAAATAAAATGATATGTGATTTGTTGTCGGCATCCCCCTTTATTCCTAATTGATTAATTTTCTGGATTTGGGTTTCGATCACGGTGCACAAATTTAAGAAAAGATTTTCAAATTAGTTCATGGCACTAAAGACTACCTATGTGTAGTTTGGGCTTTAAATGTTATTTATTAGCTGTAAATATATGTGTGTATGTGTAAAGGGAGATTGTGCATGTTGGAAAGGCTGTGGCTCTCTGCCTTTATAGTCGGTGGTGCTAACTCTGTACATGTCTTTATCAGTGATATTTCACTGAGCCAACTTACTTTTATGAAATATAAAAAGGCTTTAAAAAAGAAACTTAACTATGTGAAGAAATGGAATCTGCTTTTAATAAAATTGACAAAATTTTGTTACAAACACTAAGTCATTATTTTGTATCATTTAAGTCCCCTAAGAAATAAATTTATTCTGAGGGAAGATTCATTCAGCAAATTTTTACTGAGTAACCAATATGCTTAGTAAATAATTTATAATGTGCATTATATTTCATTTTTTGTTTACATTTGTAAAAATACTACGCAGGGCCTTTAAATTAACTCTAGAGGAAAATGATATTTTTCCTAATAAAATACACAGAATACACAGGATTTTTCTTGCCCGAAGTATACCTTTTCACAAGTAAAATGTTGGATTAATATAAAAAACACCTTTGACTACTTTCTGGAATACATTGCCTCTAAGATATAATTGTTAGCTACAAATGGCCTCCCTAGTGGCCCAGGGGTAAAGTCTCAGTGTTATCAAGCTATCGCCAGCTGCTGTGGCCTGAGTTTGATCCCTGGCCACGGAGCTGACCCAAATGGCACAGCACACCTCTCCTGTCTTGCCCTCTGCTCCCCTTAGCAGTATATTTCAGTAGATCCACCTGTTCTGCTCCCTACTCTGTCTCTGGTGAATTTTTTCACTCCCCACACCTTTGGCAAATACCCCAGTTCTTCTTTTTTTTTTTTTTTTTTTTTTTTAATCTTAAATTTTATTTTTATATTCCCCCATACAATTGCAAACGCCCCATTCTGACCCTAATCCTTCCCCCCCCCCCCCACCCCCAAAAAGTGTCTCTGGTTCATAGTTTTTTGTTGATTTTGATTTTCACTTTCTTATATTCATTTTCCTGGTCCCTTATTTAAGTTTTCTAGATTCCTGCTACGAGTGAGACCATCCGGTATTTTTCTTTTTCTTTTTGGCTTATTTCGCTGAGCATGATCCCTTCCAGCGCCATCCATGTTGCTGCAAATTGCATGTGTTTATCTTTTTTGAATGCTGAGTAATATTCCATGGTATATATGTACCACATCTTCTTGATCCAGTCATCTACTTTTGGGCATTTGGGTTGTTTCCAAAGCTTAGCTATTGTAAACAGTGCTGCTATAAACATAGGAAATACCCCAGTTCTTCTATGCAAAAACAAAACAAAACAAAATCTTTTTAAAAATTGTTAGCTACTAAATGAGTGGCATTGGTAAATGAACTATTTGAAATAGGTGGGTGTTTTTTTTAGTTTGGTTTGGGTAGTTTTGATAATAAAAAAAAAACCCCAACAATATACAGCCCATCTATGCAAATAAGTAGGGATTGTTTTTGGTTCAACGAGGTAGAATTTAGTTAGAAAACAGTTGTTACAATGACTACTAACACAAGACATTTTTGTCAGTACAGCATGGGATCTGGAACTGGGGTCCACTGGATAGAAGGTGACTCCCCAGTTTCCACTTAGCTCACTGCCCAGCAATGCCTGTGGCTGTAATTAAAAAGACAGACAGCAACAGCTGCTGGCCAGGATGGAGGAGAATGTGAACCTGCATATATTGCTGGTGGGAAAGTAAAATGGTACAGCAACTCTGGAACACAGTTTGACACTTTTTAATAAAAATGTAACCCATATAAGCAACTCCCCTACTAGGTATATACCCAGGAGAAATGAAAGCATATGTCTACAAAGATTTGTATGTATATGTTCACAGCAGAAATAGTCATGATAATCACTATAGGGAAGCAACCAAATGTCTATCAACAGGTAAAATGATAAGCAAAATGTGGTTTGTAATGCAAAGGAATGTTATGAAAAGAACAAACTGCTAAAACATACTACAACATGGATTACTTCAAATGCCTTTTCCTTTATGAAAGAACCAGATACAAAAGAATACATATGAAATTTTCAGAAAAGGCAAATTATAGACATAAAAAGTAGATTAATGGTTGCCTAGAAATGGGAGTCTGAAGGACAATTGACTATTAAGTGGTTGTAAGGAATCTTCTGGGGATGATGGAAATCAAATTGTGGTTTTTATTACAGAACTGTAATTTACTAAAAATCATTGAATTATTCTGAATTGCTGAATTATATGGCATGCAAATTGTGCCTCAATAAAGGTTTTAAGAATGTATACATATAGACCGATAGGCATAGACAACAGCAAACTGTATATATGACCCACAAAAACTAAATTTTGGGGACATCCTGCTCTTGTCCCTAAAAAAGGAATCTGTAGAGTTCATGCACCATCTTTTAAAACTAGCTTTCTCCTACCAGCAACCTAGCACTTATGTTATAAGTGAATGCTGTCACCACCTTATTTTATTAAAAATGTCTTGTTAGCCATGACTCAGTGAGACTGTTGGCCTATTTGTTATGAATTTCTCTTACTATGGAAGGGCTATGCAGATAATTATCTCCTGAAATGAAACTTATTGGGAATACCAAATTAATATAATTAGAATACCATCAAATAAACTGCTTTAGAAGTTGTAGCACTATTAGAAATCACCTACAACATCTTCATTTCTCAGCTGATATAATTAGTTCAAAAAGTTTAAGTGACCTGTCTGATGTTGAACTGCTAGTCACTGACACACATGAAACTAGAAATGAATCTTATTAACTGATTCTTGTTAACAATTCAGTATATCAGCCATGATTTATGGTTGATGTATGCCTTGCTTATATTTCCTGTATCCCAAATACATTATACACTATGTACTTAGTTACGAGTTTACTTCATATACAAAGGCAACACAATAAATTTACCAGTAGAAGATACAGGCCTTGGATGTCTAACGGGATAAAATGAATTTGCATTAGTGCCAGCTCCTTCTTATGACTAGTAACACAGTCTATGTGTGGTGGTGAGGCTTTCCAGTAAGTGCCATCTGTATCATGGATATCACTAGTTCATCACAGTGTTCTAGACAGAGAAACTATTATTGGAATTGTGTAGCCAGCAGTCATCAAGATGGTCCCTAAGATCCTTACCAATAGTATTCACATCCCATAGAACCCCCGCCGACACTGAGCTATATGACCAACAGCATGAAGTAGAAGTGATGGCATACCATGTCCAAAATTAGGTTACAGAAGGATAGCACCTTCCATTTTAGTTATTCTCTTATGCTGTCACTTTCTCTCAGAGAAACCATGTTGTGAGCAACCCTGCAGAGATGTTCCTGTAGGGAAGGACTGACACCTGGGTAAGCTTGAAGTCAGCCTGCAGAGACAAGAGTCCTGGCCAATAGTGTGAAAGTAAACTCATGAGAGTCCTAGGGATATACTTCAGATTTTTGACACATAGAAACTGTGAGAAACCCAGGGAAAGGCTGAGCCTCAGGCACTTGATTATCCAGGATCCTGGAGCAGCAAACTGGTGCTCTGGCAGGCTGGCTTTTCCCCAAGTGCATGTGCCTGCACTTCCGTAGCTCTAGCTCTGGTACCACTAAAGAGATCGCAGCATGTGTTCTGTTGCCGATGCAGAAAACTTACAGACTCCTCAGCCAATCTCTAGATCAGGGATTTTCCTCCTTGCATTTTACCATTGCATTACTACTGGTTTGATTCCCAGTCACACCTTCTTCATTTAAAGTGTTATGGAGCACATATTTTGGTTTCCTATCTTTAAGTAAAATACAGTTTTATACAATCCTAAGATATTTAGATACAGTTACTAATGTTCTAGACATACACCCTCTTATTCATTAAGAAAAGACTTAAGGGTCGGGGCCTCCCCGGTGGCGCAGCGGTTGAGCACTGGGTTGCGAAGCTGCCTGCGGCCTCTGCAGTGCTGGTTCGATCCCCGGCTGCTCCCTGGCCACTGGAGGAGAGTCCCACATGGCCACAGACCTCTCCTGCCGCCCACTGCTCCCCTCAGCAGTGTACTTCGGTCCTTCTGCCTGCTCTGCTCCCCGCTCTGGCTCTGGTGAATTCTCTCACCCTCCCGCACTTCTGACTGTACCCAGTGCTTGTATAAATAAATAAACAAAACTAAATAAATAAATAAATAAAACATGCCTCTATTAAAAAAAAAAAGACTTAAGGGAAACGTAATTATAACTGAATGACACACCCACACCACATACTTGTCAACACTGCTAGAATACCCCAAGTCACTAGCCTCTCTTATTAGCTTTCAAACCATACCCACTGAAATTAGGAAATGCAACATTTGTATCTGATTGTCTTCATTTCCACTCTTTAAACCACTGTGGCTGCTCTGGAACCCTAACTCATTCCGGTCTAAAATACTGAAATCTGGTCATTTGGTAATAAATTCCCAAATCAGGATTTCAACAGGAAAAAAGCTTGTTCCAATTGACTTTCTCAATCTTTTCATCCAAGAATGTATTGCAAGAAATTTTTAAATGAATAATTGTTCTGCAAGATGCACATAGGGATAAAGTTATCTTTAGCAAGAATAATCTTTGGTTTCAGAAACAAAAAGACTTGAAAACAACTTGCCTCAGCTATGTTTTCTAAAGCAAATTACTCAGTGGAAGCCAGTGTTTCACTTAAATTCAGGCCTTTAAATCTCAAATTCTGTTCTTTCTCACTACCTCTGAGGCAGTATAAAGACTGGTGATAATTTCAGGTGGTGGTGGTGGTGATGGTGGTGTGTGTGGCCAGCTAAGGGGTTCTGGAGGTGGCACTCCCAGCACACAAAGTCATCTTCCTAAAACTCAGAGAAAATTCAAGGGGTTAAAGTGAACAACAGCAGCCAATTTTTAAAAGATAAACTAAGAACATATAGATTGAGGGACACTGGAAAAGATCAAAGCAATGTGGGTATATTCTAAGCCCCTTTATCCACACTTTGCTGCTTCCCCTTCATTAATGTGAATGAAGGAAATACAGTAGATGAAATACTATTTATTTCTCCTCCTTATTTCATTTAGAGACAATCATTTAGGGTTCCAAATGTCTGACTGTCTATATGCCCAAACTCTTAATTTTATTTCTTCCTAGCATCCCATTTTCAAGTTAGGTGAGATCTAATGCCAAGATCTCTAGATTGAGAGTGATAAACAGAATTAATCAATTCTTAAGCTTCTTTTCTTGGGACAAGAAAAGAATTTAAAAAAAATAAACATCCTACCATAG